GTCGCCGACGGGATTAACCCAGGTACCTGATAGCACCGGTTCCCATCATGAACACCGAAGTACATAAAGCAGGAGGCCTCCCCATTCAGACTGGAGAGGGGGTGTAGAGTTCAATTTTTCTTTTCATTTTAAAATTTCTATTCACCATGTCTCCGCAATGTTTCTGTGATATACATGACATTCTGTTGGCCCCGCGGCCTGGGAGGGCCCGGGGTCGTGGTGATGGGGCCTGGCCGGCGGCGAGGCCTGGCGACGGGCGCTGCGGCAGGGCCACGGCAGGGCCTCGGGGACACGGAGGACTCGGCACTGTCGGCGCTCTGGGGGACTTTCTCGCCCCGGCCCGGCGAAAGGAACGAAGACCGAGCAAGAGCGAGGAACCAGGGACTGCCGGGGACTGCCGGGGACTGTCGGGGACGGCCAGGGACGGACCCGCCCAAAACGGGCCGCCGGCCGGGGCCAGTGGGGCTAAGCGGCGACGGCCCGTGGCCTCTTCGTGACAAAAGCCGCCTTCGCTGTGCTCCGCTGTGCGCCCCGCGCCTCGCCTTTGAACCGCAATAAGAATATCAGCCCCGATCCGAATCCGAATCGTGCGGCGGGCTTTCACGCCGGCCCGTCGGTTTGCTGGTTTCCGACTTGGCGGCGGTCTCCTCGGCGTCGGCCGCGTCGGCCGCGTTCGGCGGGCACCTCGTGACCGGCCGGCCGAAACAATTGGAGGAACGCAACGCAGCGAGCCGCGCAGTGCTCCGCTCTGTCTCTCTCGCACCCCTTCGGGCCTGTCGGGCCTGTCGGGACGTCCCGCGGGTGCGAGAGAGACGCCTGCCCCGGCCTGCCCCACGCGTGCAGCGCGCGAAAAAGCGAGCAGCCTCTTGACTTTCGCCACCGCCGTAATTCATATCGATACTGGATCGATACCTCGATGGACACCTCGGCGCGCTCGCCGCTCGGCGTGTGCAACATGGGCGGCAGGCGCTGCCAGGCAGCACACTGATTCGGAGAGTCGTTTTCGTCGCTCCGCCTCTCTCGCGCCTATAGGTAGGGGACGTCCCTTGAGTGCGAGAGAGACAGAGCGACGACAACGACTCTCGGAATCAGTCTGCAGCACCGCGCTGGCCCACTCAGTTGCTCGGTTACCATTCCGGTGATGAAATTAGCCTCAGCCAGGACCCGAGCCCAGCCCGTTGGAACACCATGTTGTTCACCCGCCAAACTTCCTGTAACAACCCCGAAAAAAAAGGACGCTACTTTGAACGGGATTCGAACCCACATCCTCCGCACGTTGCTCCACCGCGCCGATGCAAGCGCACCCATGAACAGTGCAGCCCGGGCCTCCTTGTGAAACACACACACACACACTCACACACAGCTGTCCCCGCGAGCCGTGGCCTGGCTGGGCCTGGCTGGCTGAGAGCGGCGCTGCCAGGCGCTGCAGTACAACACGGCCCACGTGACGTCAACGTCAGCGTCGGCGCGTCAGCGCGTCAACGCCGAAACCGTTGGCTGGCCCCAGCCAGCCCCAGTCACCGGCCGGCCGGCCGCGGACCCCAGGCGGCCCCGGTGCCATCGCCTTCGCAAATTATGTAATAAGGACGCATTGTGTAGTCTAGCCGCGGACGCGTGAGCACGCGCGTGCGTCTGTGTGCGTGAGCGCGTGTGCGTGCGCGTGCGTGTGTGTGTGTTCGTGTGTGTGCACTTGGCACGAGGCGCGAAGACGCTTCGAGGCGGGGCAAGGTGTTTCAGGTGTTGAGTAAGGTTCAGGTCGGGCGGCCCGCACAGTGGGCCAGAAGACCGGCGGAGGCGGTCGAAACTTTAGACGCGTTTTGAGCTCCAGAGTCGCTAAATGGGGCTCGGACCGAACGCGTGACCCCACCAATGGTTTGCTCTCCGAACGAGGAATCCATTGGCGGGTGACACGTCCGGTGCGAGTCCTGTTTAGCGACTGTGGAGCTCCAAACGCGTCAAGCGTTTTGGCCGCCTGCAACGGTCTTCTGGCCCACTGTGACCCGGCCGGCGCGCCCGGCTTCGGCTTGCCCAGCGGCGAGCGCCTGGGAGGTAGGCCGACCTGCCACACTCCGGTGCGTAACGGGACAGCCTACCCGGCGGCGAGCGCCTGGGAGGTAGGCCGACCTGCCACACTCCGGTGCGTAACGGGACAGCCTACCCGGCAGGCGCCCGCCGCCGCCAAGCACGGCGTTTATTGCGAAAAAGAGACAGACGGCAGCCAACAAGACGTGAAAGGTGAGTGGCGGAGTGTTGAGGGCGCGACGCGCGATGAAGAGATGCCAGAGTCAGTCACGCTCGAAATGGAGCCGTCTGGCGAGAAAAGAGAGGGTGTCTCTCTCGCACCCCCGCGGGCGCCGCAGCGGGCGCGAGAGAGGCAGTGGCGTTGGGAATCGGGCCGGGGGGTGTGGGCGGTTCGGGCAGTGCTGATGAAACCCTGAAACGCAGCCATCATGCGGTCCGGCACAAATCCACGCACTGGGCCCGCTGCTCCGCGGGCAGCCCGACGAGGCCGCGAGGATGGTCGAGGATGGTCGAGGATGGTAGAACGCCAGGCGAGAAGCCAGACGCGGGCGTCGGAAATCCTGGCCTCCTTTATCTAGAGCTGCTTCCTGGCTTCCTGTTCGCACACGCCTCTTTCGTTTCTCAATCACCCACCGCTCGCGTTTCGTCTTTCGTCGCTCCTGTTTTGTGCAGTGTGCCTCCCCCGTGTGACCCCATCAGTGGATCCCTCGTTCGGAGAGCAATCCATTGGTGGGGTCACACGTTCGGCTCGAGTCTCTAGAGTTTTGGCCGCCTCCACTGGTCTTCTGGTCCACTGTGCATCGCGGTGCTCGGGCCGCGGGCTGTCGCAGGGCCGGGGAGGAACGCTAGGAAGAAGCGGGCGTGCTCGGGCTCGGGCCGCAGGGCGAGCAGCGAAGCAGAGAAGCAGCGTCCACACCGCAGTCCCGCCGTAACCGCCGTGCCGGCCCGGGCCCGCCCGGCCCAATCAGACCGTCGTTCAGGTGCCGGCAGCCAGCAAGCAGCCAGCAAGCAGCAAGCCAGCGGCAGCAGTGAGATAAATTAGCTCATTTTTCGCCGCCGCCTCCTGCGACCGTCTGCCGGTCCGCGACACGCTTCCTGGGTCACGCCTAGATTGGATCTCCTCAGGGCAGGACACCATTGTCCCACTTTAAAGCGGACTTTTGCCGTCCGGGTAGCCTGACGACAAGGCAAGGGCTGGAAGATGGAATCGGACGCTCCGTGCCCCGCAGCGGGGACGAGTGAGTGCCTGACAGTGTGCTAGTTCCGAACGCACGAGGGAGCCGATGGGTGCAGTTATGTGTGTGAATGGAATCCCAGTCGAGGACTTGGCGAGCTCCAACCATGTCCGTCTAACCTGGCTCCGGCCCGCTCAGGCGATGACGACGCGTTGAACTGTTTTGTAAGTTTGGCGCGCTTTCGTCCGTTCGAGGCTCGAGGCGGCCAGACTCGAGGGCCGTGGCGTCATATCGCATCATCGCGTGGCGGGGTGGGGCGGGGGGGGCGGGGCGGGGCGGGGCGGGGCGGCGGAGCGGCGTGTATGCAGGCGGCGTCTGGCCGTCTGGGACACTTGGCATGGCAGTCCCTGGACAGGACGGCCCTCGCCTCGCAGAGCCTCGCAGCCGGAGCCAGGGCCCTGGCGCACAGTGGGCCAGAAGACCGGTGGAGGCGGCCGAAACTGTAGACGCGTTTTGAGATGCAGTGTCACTAAATGGGACTCGAACCGAACGTGTGATCCCACCAATGGATTGCTCTCCGAACGAGGGATCCATTGGTGGGGTCACACGTTCGGTTCGAGTCCCATTTAGCGACTCTGCAGCTCAAAACGCGTCTAGAGTTTCGCCCGCCTCCACCGGTCTTCTGGCCCACTGTGTGACGGCGGCGTGCGGCGTGCTGGCGGAGGCCCCCGTGCTCGTGCTCCACCTGCCACCCGGCCGGCTCGGCTCCGGCTTGGCAGGGCTCGGCTTGGCTCGGTCGAGCGCTCGGCTCGGCTCGGCTCGCGGTGCATGGCGCAACCCGCGGCACGCCTTGCCTTGCCGCCTTGCTAGACCACCGCTCGGCCCGGCCTGGGCCCGGCCTGGGCCCGGCCTGCCGGAGTCCTGCAGTGCAGACGGCCCTGCCCGCCCTGCCCGCCCTGCCCGCCCTGCCCGCGCCGAAGCGCCCCGAGCACGCCGGGTGAATGGACCCGGGCCGACCCGAGGCTGCAGCCATCCTTCAGCCATCCTGCAGCCACTGGAGGCTGCGTCTCCACACGGCGCGAGCCTCCAGATTCCCAGGCCAAGTGCGTCGCTTCTGTTTTCAAAAGGTTCTCAACAGACTAGGCGTACTGCAACTGTCCCCTCCAGCAGAGCGGTGATTCCGAACGGCGGCGCTCTGTCTCTCTCGCGAACTTACAGGACGCCGAGCCATGAGTGCGAGAGACACGCTGGCACTGTTCGAAAATGAGCCTGCTGAACGCGCTGCGGTGACTCGATTTTCGAGTGATTGGATCGTCAGGGTAACGTGGCCTTCCCCGCTCCCTCCTCCTTGGTTAGCCGTTCTCCAGTGCGGCCTAGCCGATACAGTAGTGCGTGTGGCAACCTTCCCGGTAGACGGACGACGGACCCTGGCGCCCTGGCGCCATCGCCGCGCCGATCCCGGGCCTTCTCTTGCTTCGCGCTTCGCCCTGCAGATTCTCAAGGATCACTTCGTCGCTCGTCCCTCTCGCACCCCTGCAGGACTTGCCATGAGTGTGAGAGAGTCCTGGACATCTTCGTCCGCCAGCAGGTCGGCTGGAGGCTCCAGGACTCGCCATTTCTGGCTCGGGGGCCCTGGAGTCCGGGACGTGCTACACCGTGCTGCACCACACTTCACACCTGGCTGCGCTGGGCTGCGCTGGCTGCGCGCGGCGCTCCTGGCCGCCTCCCCGCCCGTCCCCGCCGTGCCCCTGCCCCGGGCCCCTGCCCCGGGCCCCGGTCGCGGCGACTCCGCTCTCCACTCACCAGCCAAGTAGAAAGCGAGGACCACGGAGTCCAGGAGTACGAGTCCGTGGCGGCGCGGGGCGGCGCGTGGCGGGGCTGCGGCGCGAAGCGCGAAGCGACGGCCGTCGTCGGCGTCCTCAGCGTCCTCGGCGTCGGGTATCCAATCAGCGTGTCAAGCACCACACACACACTCACACACGCACGCACGCACACGCGGTGACTGATCGGGGCGGCCTGCTTGGCCTGCTCGCGGTCGCTGGCGCGCTCGTCGTGGACCCGCTGGGGGTTGGCGGCCTGGCGGGGCTCGGCCTGGCGGGGCTCTCGGCGTGGTGGGCGAGGCTGTCGCGGCGGTGCGCGGCGCCCTGCTACTCGCTTCGGACTCGGCTAACTAAGGCCCGTCCTGTGCGGCGCAGCGCGGCACAGCGCGGCCACACGCCAGTCCACCGCGGAGTCCGCCTGGCGGGGCGGGGGGGGGCGGGGCGGAGCAAGGCCGTGGAGCGGCGAGGGGCCCCGCGCCCTCCCCGACGCCCTCCCCTACGCCTGGCGGGCTGGCGGGCCTCTCCGCCAGGTGAGTTGCCAGTCCCCTTCTCTTCCCCGGCTGCCCGGGGCTGGCGGGGCTGGCGGGGCCGCGGTGGTGGCGGTGGTGGCGACGAAGGGGGGCGCGAGGCCGCCCAGTCGTGGAAGAAAGTTCTTCTTATTGTATATCACATCACATGATTCGCCCCCCTCTCCCCCGCCCAGTGTCACCTGCCCGCCGCCCCGCCGCCCGCCGCAACAGGTGCAGAGTGTCATCCAAGTCCGTCCAAAAATTACGTCACGCTGCCCCGGGGGGCCGGGGGGGTCTGTGACACCTGAGGCTGATTCCGAACAGTGTCGTGTCGCTCTGTCTCTTTCGCACGTGCAGTGCGCCCAGTTCTCGTGAAATAGGATCATTGACTTGACACGGTTTTGTAACTAACAGATCTTTTTTTATTATTAATAATAGAATTACATGTACAATATAGATAGTTTTTCATTTAAAATTACTCTCATGGTAGATACTGAGTATTGATAAATTTTTTGTATCATGTACGCACCACAATAATACATATTATTTAAAGTAGATATAAATATAATGGTAATGACTACGGGATTGTGAAACTATGAGTAAAAGTTCATTTTAATTGTTCAAACCACACTACACTACATAATCTGAGGACAAAGATAAAACTGAAAATCAGAGAAGGGGCTTAGTCAAACACTACTTTAATATAATGTACATTAATGTATTTGAATTAAAGAGAATGTTAAGTCTGAAAATAACTTAGGTTAAAGGAGAAAAAAATCACAAAAGACTCTATTACATGTATTAGTTTGTCATTGTTCTACAAGTGGACAGAGCTTAAATTCAGGTAGAGGGGTGATACGTTTTAAGTAGATCTGTTAAAAATCTTATTTAAATTTTTTTCAAATATCAGACAATCTAGTGGTATAATCAGTGGCAAATTGTGAACAAACTGCAGCTCACAACAAAGGGAAAGGAACATTCTAGAAGACAGCCTTTCTGAACACATAATCTAGTGAAAGTCAAAGTATGATTGATATGTTATTGAACTTGCACAATAGGACAAATCACTACACTCGCAAAACAATACTAAAAAGAAACAAAAAATAAACGGGGTACAATAGGAAAACTCTAGTTAAAGCTGCTTGTGCAAGAGAGGGAAATTGATTTACATGTAATGCACAACACCTTTAATGCAGAAAATGGCAATGAAAATCAGACACTAAGCACTTTTCTTCATTGATTGTAATAAATATCCATATTAAACAAAGAAAAATAGAAACAAAAATGCAAGCATGAAAATGGAAAAGCACTGGAAATGAAACACTGAAACACAAACTCAGTCTCATAATAAACAACACATTACAAGTGCTAAGAAAAACGGAACTCTAAAAGTTTGTAAAATTGACAAAACGGCTAAATTTAAAAGCAGGTTAAAATCAAACTTTTAATAAGTTGTACAATCAAAAATCATCAAATCAATGTCATGAAAACTAATTGACATTTTTTAAATGTTAAGCACATTAGTGGAAGCACGGGCACAAATGCCTACTTCTTTGTACTATAAATCTAGTCCTCATAACTCCAAGAATAAGCACAAAACAAAATCCTCAGACTGAGTGTTGAGCGGAATGACACTAGGTCTCACTGACTAGTCTTCCAATTATCACAATAGAACATTAATACAAGGCCTTTTATCCATCAATACTGTAAATTTCTCTCTTAGTCTTTCTATAAAACTTAGAAAAGTACCACACAGTACAGCAACAAATCGAAGATGTTCTTTGCCTTTGGTTTCCTGTTTTCAAATAAAACACTTGGCACTGGATTCCCACAAGCCTTTAAGCACCGACACTCCTAATAATTAACAGTAGCTAAAAAGGGTTCTCCTTGTATGTCTTCATACCAGAAAGTCACAGCATCAAGCTTTAAAATGTTGAGTTAGGCCTTCTATAATAAAATCAAAAACAAAAAAATTGGACAAAGATATATCCACATAATTTCCTAACAGGTCAATTTCTAAAAACACAAACTAAACTGGAAAGTATGATAAGCTTTCTAGTTGGTCAATCCAACCACTGCATTAAAATATATTTTTTAAGTGCAGGAATTCAGAGTAGAAGAGTTCCTCACAAAACTATGATTGTAACCAAATAGCCCTGAAATCTTTCATGAAAATAGAGATTTATAAATGATTTGAGATCAAGAACAATCGGCTCGAGCAGGGGTTTGGCTAGCGTGAACTTTTTGGAGATGGTTTACGGGTATTCCTGATGCAACGTAGATTGGCTGTTCTAATGGATGTGGCTGGGGTTCTGGCTCAGCCGGAGGAGGAGGAGTGGTGGGTAAGACAATACCACTCATGCTATCAGTAATACAAACTGAAGGATCTGTAAAAGAAGAAAAAAAAAAGCAAATTACGTTATGGAAATTTGTCAAAGAAGCAGAAATTGATTTGTAAATAATACATACTGGTTGGGGTTGCAATGGAATCAAGGTCCCTTGCAGTTGATCCCATCGGGTCTTCGGGGGCAGGCTCAGGGGGTGGTATACCCCCATTGCAAATAATGCTGTCTACATCTGGGTATCGAATCCTAATTGAATCCACAGCATCCAAGAGATTCTTAGCATCCATGGCCAGAACATGTGCTGCTGAAAGCATTCCCCTAAACAAACAAAGAATAAAAATCAGACAATTCCAACATAAAAATTCTCTTCAAAACAAGCAGTTAAACTTACTTCCTGTAGACATTATCATGTGTTGTGGTGCTGTAGCTCTGAGCCAATTTCATTGCATTCACTAGTTCACTCATATCCTTGCTCAGAACCTTATGAGCCATTTCAACCTGCAACAAGAAAAATTAATATGCAGTGTCTTTATTTGGAGAAAGTGGTTCCTTCCTTACAAAATAAGATAAGAAAAAGACTCCACACACACCTCTCTGTGGGCAGCCATGGGGAAGAGAGGGACCAGATCATCCACACTTGTAAGCAACGCTCTCAAATCAACTCCGACTCGGCGAACCAGATCTAGGTATTCCTCTACATTTCCTTGTTGAACACCTATGAAATTTCATAGACAAAATGAAGCCAAGAACATCAGCATATGTATTAAGCCACGAGACACATGAAGAAAACCATACCTTGGGAGAGTGTCATCACAGCTTTGACCACAGCGGTGGTGCATTCATACACATTATCATTTGACCTGTCAAGATCAGCGGTTGGGGTTGGCTCCATTTTCTGTGGGAAAATAGAAGCAAAATAATATGAGTGCACAGCGTGAAAAAGATACAGGGCCATAATAATGAGGCAATTAAGACTAATCTCCATTTCATTCACCTTCACAACAATTGGCCTGTCTAAAGAGGCAGTGGAATGTTCTGAATGATCCGGACTGGGACCACGGCTTGAAGAGTCAATGCTTAGAGCTGCTGCTTCCTCAGACTCCGGTCCAATTATCGATAGACGCTTCTTCTGAGGGTCAAAATGACAAATTAGTAACAAGTTTAGCAACTGTAAGAGCAGGATGGGGATGCTATTCCTACCAAATTGTTTTCCTCTTCAGCAAGCCATTTTCCATCTTCCTCTGACTGTTTCTGCTGCTGCTTTAGTCGCTGTTCAATTAACCTCGCCTCTGTTTCGGTATCCAGAGCTGGATCTCCATATATTGTTGATTGAGTCTGCCCAAACAATGACAAAGAAAAAGTGATGATTCCCTGCAGTCCGCAAATCAAAACAAGGGAAAAAACAAAGAAAAGAACATAACACTAACTAAACAATAAAAATATACAAGTCATAACACTACAAGTGAGGTAATTTACAAGTTTAAAGCATGCAATCGATGAGGGATGATGTGGTCAAGTGATTAGTAGGGAGAGGATGTACTTTAAGTATGACACACCATGCAGAAATCTCAGCAAACCATGCTGTTACTGTGTAGAACCTAGGTCAAACAGAACTTCTAGAAAATAAAGTAGAGCATAGTCAAATCAATAACTCACAATATGTTGTCCTGAACAATCAAGAGCAGTGGAAAAGAATGCCAAGCAACTGACCTCCACACAACAGGTCACTAAACTAACATTCCAAGCACTATTAAAACACAGTTGAATCTTTAAAAAAAATCTCAAGTTAAAGCATTCTGAGAGGAAATAAAATGTGAGAGTTCAAAATTTGAAAGTGCAGAACAAACTTGTTTACAAGAGCAAATCAAAGCAAAGATTCTAAACTTGAAAAAGAAAAAAACCAAATCAAATTTCATGCAATGGTCGTGCCCCTCACCGGGCCCTGAGTGGGTGTTTGATCCAACGCAGTAGATGAATGAGTAGACAAAGTCATTGACAACTGAGAGCATGTGGATGCCTCATCCGAGTCATCTTTTAAAGAAGATGTAGATGCCACCATAGGAGCCGTCACCTTCTTAGCTTTGTTACGAGGAAGTGATTTGCGCATGATAGGAGAGGATGCCCCATCACTGACAGCCCCGAGAGAAGTTGATGGGGAAACACAGTCAAGGGTACGACGAGAGCTTGACAAATGGGGACTCTGAGTAAGGGAGCAGGTGGAGGGGGAATGACAGGGGCCCTTGTCTTTGAAATCTACCGCTAGAGTGTTGAAGGCAGAAGCTGGTGTAGTGTACACAGCTGGGTTCAATCCTCGGCTTTCATTTTCGCGCATCAGTTGCATCAGTACTTCTGGATTCTGGGCAACAATATAAGTTGATACACTAGGAGCACCAGCGGCTGTGGCATTCAAAGATGCAGTTGATGAGCAGTCTGCAGTGCCGAGAGGGGAATGACAGAGTGGGGGCATGCGAGACGGTTTGGGTGGAGGAGGGTCGTCAGAGCCTGATGAGCCTGCGGAGACAAACAGGATTTCATTTTAGAAAATGAAGAAAAGATAAAAATCTAATTAGGAAGCAAAGATAGAAAACTTGTACTAACCCCATGACATGGCTTGCACACGTCTGTTTTCTCTTCGCATTGTCTCTTGCTGTTGGCTACGCTCCTCCAACAGAATTTCACTAGACAATAAAGAATATGTATCAGAGCCCAAACTAAATTTTGAAAGACTCCTTTTATTAGACAAAACAAACTCACTTGAGGACTTCTTTGATGTCTTTGAAGCTTGGTCTCTTTGATGGTTCATAACTCCAACACAAGGACATTAGGCTGTAAAGTCTAGGAGGGCAGCGTGCTGGAAGAGCCAAGCGCTCTCCATTTTCGATTTTACCAATCACATCGTTATTCTTCACACCTTGGAATGGTTTAACACCAAGCATGAGGATCTCCCACATGCAGACACCTGTGATATCCAAGCAAGTATTAGGGTACAATTTATGTTTCATGACACCTTAGAAAATAGTTTCCAAGTTCATCTCGACTAACCAAACATCCACACATCACTCGCAGTAGTAAATCGCCTAAAATTTATGGATTCAGGTGCCATCCACTTAATTGGCAATTTTCCCTTCGAGGCCTTGTAGTAGCTTTGGTCTTCAACCCACCGAGAAAGACCGAAGTCTGCTAACTTGACACAGTGGTTGGAAGAAACAAGTACATTGCGAGCAGCTATGTCCCTGTGGAAAGTCAAAATTGTTAAGTAACAATTTTTTAGGATGTTGTGAGCATGTTGTCTCAAATGAACTTGGAGCTGAAACACACCTGTGAACAAACTTTTTGGATTCAAGGTAAGATAAAGCTGTGCTCAATTGAAATGAATACAAAAGTAAAGTTGAAAGGTCTAGTCGAGGTGAATTCTGTTGGAGGTATGCACGAAGCTCTCCCAGTTTAGCAAGTTCCATTACTATCCATATGGGACTATCAGAACAAACACCAATTAGACGGATAATATGTGGATGGTGAAATTGTTGCATGATATCTAGAACACAGATGACAACAGACTCAAAAATGCTTTTATGATAGGGATACTTAACAAGGCCATAAGCTCATAAAACAACTCACAGGCCTCCTCCAAAAACTTTTCTGCAGTTGCAAGATCTGCATCTGGCTTGCAGGTTTTAATTGCTACAGGAACAATATGTCCATCTTTACTAGAGCGGTAACTGCCTTTGTGAACATCACCAAACTGGCCTTCACCAATTGTTTCAGCCAGTTCCACTTGATTACGAACCAGCTCATAGTCACGTGCTGAAATTATACAACAAAAGCACCATTAAATCACACCCTCAGGAGAACAAATTAATAAAATCCAAGAATTTGAAAAGTACTCACTTGCTGGGGTTGAGTAGTCACCTTCTTCATCAACAATTTCAGCATAGTCCTCAGCTAAAGTTGGACCACCTGACTTTGGTTTGGAACCTTGAGCATCTGAAAAACATGAAGAAATGTATAAACATGCCATGATACTGAAGACATACAAAGATGGAGATGACAGGATCGTGTGCAGCACAAGCAGATAAATTTTATGAATTCATAATATAATTACACAACCATTAATCTAAGAAGTAGCTTAAAAATTCTTCTGAACACAATCAAACAGATGGTTGTGAAAATGTTTTAAACATGCAACTGAAAGTAACAAAAACATAATACTCAACGCTCAGAAACTAACAAAGCAAGTATACAGTAAAAAAAGTCTAAAAAATCTAATAGCTTTCTAAACCAGCCACCACATATATCTAAACTGACAAAACACAACATATGTAACTAATCCAATAAGGTGCTCCAAAATGTAAATTTCACAGAAAGACGGCTTGCTCAATAGGAGTAAAAAGCTTCTTCCTAAGTGTGAAAATAAAAAATTCTATCAAACAATCTATGCAACTATGTGACTCTGAGACTCTGAACCCTGACAAACCTTTAGTTGCAGCACAAGGACATGGATAACGTTTCCAGAGTGCAGCTTGAAGAAAGACACAGTAAGATAAGTAATAAATAAGGCCCTAATAGATTTTGTAACAACAAAACCTTGCATTAGTAAATTAAAAATTTAATGTAAATTTTTTTATACCTTTACGATTCCAAAGTGAGGTGTTGGTGCCCGCCAGGAGTCGGCAGTACCCATCAATCAAGTCAGCAAGACTCTCAGCAGCCTCCATTGAAGCACAAGTTACTGTGAGAGATTCTGATGTGCCCGCAACTCGTAACTGCACCATAGCCTTCCGATGAGCTTCACATTCTGTCATCAATGTCTGGATTGCTTGAATTCGAGAAAGCTCAGCCATTTTAGAGGGCTGTGGACCATGGTAAAAGGGAGGACATGCTGATTCATTCATGGTAAAAAAAATTAACTTGAAACAATGGGCAACAATGATCTTACTGTTGTGGCCTGATGAGTTACATAGGAAATTCCAAGACTAGGTCCTATCACAAGTTCCACCGGAATTGACCAGCCCGACTGCAAAGGTGACAAACAAACAAGACAAAGATTAGCTGGATAAGTACAACAAACAACAGATTTTAAATAATGAAAATTAAAAGGTAAGACTTACACCAAGGGAAACATGAAAGCGTTCGTGATCAAATTCAGTATTACTCCGCAGCAGCTCCAAGAATCGAAATGCAGCGTCACGCTCACTTAATTTTGCCACACTTTTGAATTGTGACTGCACTGCTTTACGGATAGTTTTGGGTTTTGCAGAGTCAATAACTGAGCGAGGGATGAACCGATGCAGTCCAACTTCTTTTTCAAGAAGCTCAAAATTACTTTTCCTATCTAATGCCACATGAGCCATGTCTTTGAAATAGTAACGCATATGAAGAACACCCAATTGGACTGCAAGGTCCTGGTCCACCCCAGGCGATTGCTTTGAGAGATAATCATTGGCAACCTGATCATAATAGTAGTAAAATGTAACACGGTCCTGCTCATATACACTGCTAATGTCACTGGGGTGATATCGGATCCTCAATTCACACTGCCACTCTGTAAGAGGGTGCTTGCTAGTATATTTCTCTTGGACCTAAAATAAAGGTAACGACATAGCATTAACAAGATGTTTGCAGGAAAACATTACAGAAGACATTCAACAAATTAGAATGTACGTACCTGGGACATGGTCATGTCTTGATGGAGCCAGTAAAATTCTCCTGAGCTTGGATGCAAAATGCGGACAGCATACATTAGTTGATATGGGCGTTGAAAGTCTTGCTGACTGCCCAAATTGCTTGTGACAAGGAGGATGATACTCTGTTCAGACCCCGACAAGAAAATCAAATTATATAGGATGAGCAAATTACTTATCAAGAACTATTGTGTGAATTATACTACCTTGATGTCTGTTAAATCCCCGAACTTGACAATGTTAAAGCTGCCGTTAAGTAAATGGACTTTCAATGTTGACTGTGTGTTGAGGCCTAATTTGGTTTCTTGCAGTGGATCTAAGGACCCCATGGCTGCTGCAGCCCCCAATGAGGCCTGGCTCCCCTTCAGACTCATGCTTGATAGCCGCACAGAGCAACGCAACGCTGCAAAGCATACATTTCAATTAAGTTACACCGCAAAAGAAAGAGTATATTACATATTTTAAACATGCATTCAAACTTACCGTACCTTTGAGGGAAAAGTTACATTTTGATGAGCACTAGCAACAAGATACCTACAAGAAAGAAAACAGGACAAATTGATAGCACATTTAAATCAAAGGAATAACACTTTATGACTGCTTGATCAATTTTAAGATACAATGATTCATAGAGGGATAGAATATGAAGTTGAAGTGCAGACAAAGGAGCTTAAAAATAGAGACAGTGGTAGAAAAAGAGACATTGACATCCCGAGCAAAACTGTAATAAAATTTTATCATGTCTCCAGCTGAGAAAAAAATGCCCATTTTGGTTATGTCAAATAGTAACTAACAAATCACAAAAAAAATCCTGGGCAGTGAAAGGTGATGAGGGTGGGTGCCAGTTTTTTCTGAGAGAGCGGCGAGATGGCACATGCAGAAATTAACACCTTCCAGACTCATTGACAAATATTTGGATGGGACCAGGACCGCCCCGTCCCCGATTCAATGCTATTTGAAGTCGCTCTTATGATTTCATTTCAAAGAGTCAAAAAATTACCGGCACTCTGGAGGAAATTGCTGCACCTTTGAGAGCTTGTCAAAACATAAACGTGACGCTAAATGTCAAATTAATTAAAAGTATTCCATTTTTGACACTGTTCACGTAAACGTCCTGGTGTTGTGGGGTGTGTTCCAGATTCGAGTACAGCCGATGCACTGTAAATGGCCACATCGGTTGAGCCTAGATTGGGAGAATCTCACTAACTTACCTTTCTCAAAAATAAATAAAGTTCCAAAATCTACCTAATACAGCCCGAAAGCAAACATTTTCCCGAAAATACGATGGACACACTGTTTCTTTTCTTCTGTTTCACGACACTGTGAATAATGGTCATTATACGCAGAATCGGCATGGCAAAGCAGAGCAGCAGCCGACCCAAGGAGGGGAGGTTATACTGACAATTTTCTGCTCTTTATTTTGCTGGAAATTGTCGCGCCACAGAATAGGTTTAAAATGTTTCGCAAACTAGTGTGCAGATTAATACGACCCGCTGGTTACCCACAGGCTGTTGCCCGATTTAGTTCTGTTCAAGAAACTTATCCAGATGAAGGTGTGTTACTGAGATGATAATGTTTACTTTTACTTTCATGTTAACTGATGTTTTGTTTCGTAAAAATATATCTTTTCTTTTTTTTCAAGTTTCTACTGCTTCCATTATGTACTTGATTTTACATACTTGTTGCCTTCTGAACAAACTGGTAAAATGATTTGCGTACTTGTTTTACTATTGCAGCTAGCAAAGCTTCTCAACAATATTTTAACACTCCAATGATAGTTGAACGGAAATTGGAGTTCCCTACCAAGGATGGTCGCTCGAGAAGAGCTTGGGTTGAAAATATAGATTCAGTCGAGGAAAGGAAAGTGGGTATGATTGACTTGCATCCAGAGATTTTTGCCGTCCAGCCCCGAATCGATATGATCTGGGAAAATGCAAGGTGGCAGATGAATTATAGGAAAGTGGTACGTATACATTTGTCTTAGATACTGAAGAGCAAGAAAAATATTCCTTTACGTGCTGATTACCGTTTACCTAATTTTTGTTGCAGAATTTAGTTCAAGTAAATTCGAGAGCTGAAATGAGGGGCGGAGGTAGAAAGCCCTGGCAACAAAAAGGCTTAGGAAAAGCTCGTCATGGCAGTATACGTTCTCCTATTTGGTACAATGGAGGCAGCGCTCATGGTCCAAGAGCCCCAACAACTAAGTTCTACATGCTTCCAATGCACACTCGTCTATTTGGTTTGAAGTCTATGCTTTCAATAAAGCTTGCTCAGGTAAGGTTTCCTCAAAATTTTAAATAGTTTCATCTCTCACAGCACAGCCTAGTGTTTATCAATTTTTATTTTTTTTCAGGATGATTTACACATTGTCAATTCACTTGACATACCCACCAATGACCCCACATACCTCCTAGATCTAGCCGAAGAACGACTTTGGGGACCATCAGTTCTATTTATTGACGAGTATGAAACTTTTCAAAACACAAAATTACAATATAGATATTAAACATCATTGTAGCCATCTCTTGTTTTGATTTTTTGGTTTTATTGTTTCTTTTTAAAGCTTATTTTTTATTCTCTTTCAGCACTGATTTAGCTCCCGAAAACTTTGCTGTAGCAGCTGACTCAATACCACACATGACCATCATGCCTGTTTATGGTGAGTTTTACTGTTGTACCGTTACATGATTTATGATGCAGAGTAATTCAAGTATATTAATCTCATAAAATGGTCCATTTTCCAGGTTTGAATGTATTCAGTATGCTGAAGCACGACACTTTAGTCCTCACCTTGGCTGCGGTTGAAAGAATTGAGAAGCAAATGTTATTTTTCATGAACAGGGCTGACAGAGCAAAGTTTGGCAGGAAATTCCTGACAAGTCAAGTGTAAGGCTCCCGTGGGCCATTTCTGTTATCATTAATTTTCTGTTGAATATACTTTCTAAATTAGGTGTCCAAAATAGAAATACTTTATTCTTTACCCGTCCCTTTTCTCCCGATGTTACCTGGCGTTACACTCCGCGACAGGTGTCGCCCCTAGAGTTCCACGATTAGTCTCCCGCTCGCGCCTGTGGGTAGGCAACCCATCTGGCCGCGGCGTAGCAGGGGCTGCCTACCCGCCGGGCGCTCCCTGCGGACCTATAAAGTCTAGGACTCTACGGACCTACGGCCTGCCAGGCTTAGAGCCACTTGCTGTTCACTGTAGTATCGAAGCATTCAGAGTCTCTCGCCCCCTCTCTCACACACACTCGTTGACACGGGTCAAATTTGTTACTGATTGCTTTGTTGCTGATTTTAGTCCAAATTTATTTACATTTTGACGTGACAATGGTACGGTTTACATTCTGTCCGCACCAGCTGGACTGGGGAATTCCAAGTTCAAAAAGTCCAATTTTTGAAAACTTTCCTCGTGAAATTTGGAAGGGGAGCAGCAGGTCGGGCGGGGGGGGGCGGGACCGGGACACTTGAAGTCTCGAAGTACCCGTACTGGCGGTGGGACGCGGTGGGCGCGGCGGTGCGGCGGGAGGGGGGAGACGGGACGCCCCTGCCCCTACCGTGCGGCGCGGCGGCGGCAACGGACGAACGAACCAAACGAACGGACAGTCTTTGCCAGGCAGCGCGCCCGCCAACTACCTGCCCGTGGCCCCGTGCGTCGAGCGTCGAGCGCCCCGCCGCCGCCCTGCCCAAGGCGCCCAAGGCCCGCACACCGGTGCACGCCCTGCGCAAGGCAAGCAAGGCCCCGCCGCCCCAAGCCACTCCGACCGAACCGACGCGATCGAAGCGATCCAGTGCCGTGGCCTGTCCGTCGCCATGGCGACCACGTAGACCGCGGCCCGCCAGCCACGCCGCGAACCGCCCCGCGAAGTGCAGAAGCCGAGACCATGCGTGTGTGTGAGTGCCAGTGTCAGTGAGCAAGAAAACAAGAAAGCGACCATGTGGATGTTGACGGTGGCGTGCTTCTTGGTGGCGTCTGGAGCGCACGCCCAGCAGGGCAACTGGGGCAACTACCAGCCCGCGCCGCCGCCCCCGCCCGACTGGCACCGCGACCCCTGGGTGCCGCCCCCGGGGCAGGGGCTGCCCCCAGGACAGGGGCTGCCCCCAGTGCCGCCCCCGGGTCAGGGGCTGCCTCCAGTGCCGCCCCCGGGACAGGGGCTGCCTCCAGGACAGGTGCCTCCACCCGCGTGGCCGCAGCCGCCGCCTGAGCTGGACGTGGTGGCGACGCCGCCGCCGCCCTGGGCCGCGCCCGACGTGAACGTGGTCCCCCACGGCGCCGTGTCCGCCGGCGACATCCCCTGGCGGCCCGACCTGGCGCCGCCGCCCGACCCGCCGCGGCCCCCGGAGCTGCCGTTCCTGCCGGGGGCGGGCCGCGAGCCCACCGAGGTCCCCGGCGGCGTGGTGGCCAACCGCCAACAGGTGATGGAGCGCGCGCGGAGCCCCTACCTGCTGCGCGAGGACCTCATCATCGACAAGACCGGCGAGCTCATCATCGAGCCCGGCGTGGAGGTCCGCTTCGCCCCCATGACGGGCATCACCGTGCACGGCGTCCTCACGGCTAGGGTAAGCAAGCGAAGCAAGCACCCCGTCATGCGTGCTCCAGTTACGACATCGCTGACCCCACCCACCCGTCGAAGGCCGACGGCGACGGCCATCGGCCTGACCTGCTCCTGGCAGCCCGGCGGGGGGAGGATGGGGGAGGGGAGGGCCTCCAGCACGTCTTCCAGCGCTTCCAGCCCGGTGGCATGGAGGGCCACGGCGAGTACCCCACCCACCCACACGTGACTAATCCGCCGTGGTGGCTGCTCTAATCTGGAAGCAAGCTGGAAGCCTGGAGGAGGCGAAGGAGGCCGCGTACCGTTGAGGTGCATTCCTCGGTGCCTCGCCCCAGCGAGCCCAGCGCACCGACCAGACCAATCCGAATGTCTTTTCTTGCGGACACGAAATGTCATTCAGAGGGGCTGGGTCTTTTCTCTGTCTGTATGTCTATCTATCTGTCTGTCTGTCTCTCTGTCTCCGCGCTTGTCTGTCTGCAACGATAGGCGTGTATAGTCCCTGTATTCCTATGCTTTTTGTCAACGATAAGACTAAGAGCGTCGAAGCAAGAAGCAGTCTTTACACCGGCCGGTGCCTTTGCCTTTGGCATCCACCATGTGGCCACACTGCCAAAATTATTCTCCAAAAATAGTAAAACAGTTTTTTGCGAGTTGCTGTGTGTTTTTGGGATTGCGGCCAGGAGGGTCGGTTCGCGGAGTAAAGTCTTTGCCGTGAGCCTGTGAACCTTCCCTCACGGCCAGCCTCACACACTGCTCGCTTTCTGCAGCGCGAGCGGCGTTTTGCACGGGGTTTGCGCAAGTTAGACAGGTATTATTTTTTTCAGACAGGCGCGTTATGGTTTTTGGACGGCCGCCACGCTGTCCTAGATTCGGGGCCAAGAAGTCGCGCCGGGCCTCGGAGAAAGTCCTGGACTCGCTTCTTCTTCTCGTTTTTCTTTTTTCCGAGGGCCTTATCAGCAGGCACGCTCCGCTACCTTGATTCGGCACCCCACCGTGGGCCGCTCCCGAAGTGCTTCGTCGTTCTGTCTCTCTCGCACGCCCTCGGGCCAGTTGGGCCGCCCTATGGGTGCGAGAGGGACAGAGATAGTACACTGTTGGCGGTGTTCCGACCGGCGTGCAAGTCTCCGAGAATTCGGACACCACACTGCCGGATGGGTTCGCCTTGACCGACGGGCCGACCACCGGAACGCCGTTCGGAACGCGCCCGACGCGCCCACTGTACGCGGTCAAACGCGGTCATTGTTACCCGACCGGCCGCGCGGTTCCAGGCAGCCGCCAGGCAGCCGCCTCGCGAACGGAACGGACCCGCCGAGACCACAGGGACTTTGCCCCGCTTTGCGTGCGCGTGAGCCTTGTTTGCGTGGCTCTTGATGCTGGCCGGGACTGTACTGGCAGTGTACTGGCGTTTTGTGCGGACAGGACAGGATGGGGGCGGGGAGGGTGCGGCCTACGGCCAGGTAGGGAGGCTTTCAGGTGAGGAGTCGAGTCACCCGCCGGCCGCCCAGCTGATGCGTGTGAGCAGACGGGCAGACAGGCGGCCGGACGGACAGCACTGCAGGAAATTATTAGTCAGGAATGCTCCGGGGCGACTCCCTGCCCGCTTCCTCCACGCCACTCTACTCCATGCACGCGCAGTAGTGCGGCAGGTTCCTGCTCCGTCCTTCCCGTAAGAGGATAGCTTCCCTTTTACGTCTTCCACTGTACAAGTGCACCTGTGAAAGGCGGCAGCGTTCCTAAACGCCGTGACGGATTTCAAGAGACACCAAAGATCACCGCCCCCTTCTCGACCTGCTCAACCCTACCGTCACGTAGAGTCCTAAAGGGCCTGGGCCTTTAGGACTCTACCGTCACGTGGCTCAGAAACAGCCAACAGGGGAAGCCAAAGAAGGCCCCACTCCAGGTGGCTCACTCCGGAACGTCGCTGTCGCCGTGGTCGCTTGCATAAAGCGCCCGGAAAACGAAAAGACCAGAACCGAAATAATAATTCTCGTTCTGGGGTTTCGTGACATGATGACACGCCGCGCGAGACACTCCGCGTGAGTGCAGCCAGCACTTTATTCCGCGCGCGACCTCTGTCTGTCTCCCTCCCACTCGCACAGTCGCACGTGCCCGCGCCAGAGTTGGGTCACGGAGCCGTCGCGAGCCGTCGCCGTAAACATGACCATCATCTTCACACACGTGGTCTGCGGCGGCCGGGCCCAGAGCGGGCCCTGTGACGGCGCCTGTCTGTCTGTCTGTCCGTCCGTCCGTCCGTCCGCCCGCATCTCGCGGCCTGCAGCGCCCCAGTCCCTTCCCTCCAGACAAAGGGCAACGGCATTCTTTCGGACCGACTCGCGACCGCCTTTACCTTTACCTCATCCAGACGAACGGACAGACGGACGAACAGACAGACAGTGCCTTATCGGCGCGACACGGCGCGATGTGAACGCAGCCACGTAACCTCCGCGTAGTGCCCGGTGCAGTGGCTGCCTACGGTGTGGCTAGCGTAGCGCTTGCAGTGGCGAAGGTGCAAACCAAAGTGCAGCGGCATGCAGCTGCCCCCCACCTAACCCGGCCCTGCGCAGCTGCAGCTGCCAAGGCCGCGCTGCCGCGTTCGGCAGCGAGGCTGCACACTGGAAGGCTGCTGGAGGCTGCTGGAAGCTGCAGCGCACAAAGAAGTCCCCTCTCGCGGACGAATTAGGGACGATCTTTTCTATTTCCGAGTGCAGGTGGCTGTGGCCTCGGCGGCGGGCTAGGCCCACCTGTTATCAGCCGGACTGATAAAGCAGCCGAGGCCATGCGTGCCTGTCTGTCTGTCTGTCTGCCTGTCTGTCTGCCCGTCTGTCGTTATCAGGCGAGGGTACTCTCTGGAGCGGTCAGCGGCCCGCACGTGCAGCGCACGTGGAAAATGGGGTAGGAAGGAGAGGAAATACTCGATAAACAGGTCGGTATGTCCCACACTGTGCACACACACGCGCGCGCGCACACACACACACACACACACACACGCCGTGGCACGTGTGGGTGCACGCTTCTGTCGGTGGAAAAAGAGAAAAATGATCTGACGACGGCAAACAGTTTGCCCAAGAAATCACCGTTCCTGTGGACTCGGTGGCGGGGGCGGGGCCGCACTCTCTCACCCACCCCTCTGGTGCAGGGCCGGCGGGCGCTGTCGAGTCTTGCGCGGCGCTGCACAGTGGGCCAGAAGACCGGTGGGGGCGGCCAAAACTCTCGACGCGTTTTGAGCTCCAGAGTCGCGACACATGTAGCTCGAACCGATCGTGTGACCCCACCCATATGGATTGCTCTGCGAACGAGGTTTCCATTGGTGGGGTCACACGTTCAGCTCAAAACGTGTCTAGAGTTGTGGCCGCCCCCACCGGTCTTCTGGACCCCTGTGCGCTGCGTCCCGTTTTGCCGGCATCTTCGTATTTTTGACAGTGTCGGTGGCTCCGCTTTTCGGGCGCCGGGTTCGCTTTCCCCGGCCCTTCATTTCGGCAGTGCTTCCGTCGCTCTGTCTCCCTCGCACGTTCACGCGGCGCCCCGCCAGGCCGCCGGTGCGAGAGAGACAGAGTGCCGACGCGCTGCCGATTACGGAGGGAGCCCTGCGGACGGGACACTTTCTGTAATGTCACTGCAGTGCAACGTGCCTCCACCTACCTCCACTTAGCGCCGTCTAGTCGAGCTGGTTTAGCAACCGCCTTGCCTGTTGCGCGTGCCACGCCGTGCTGGTGGCGGCCGGAGGGTGGCCGGAGTGCCTAACCCTTTTGCCCCCGACTGTACCACGCCACTGTAACCCCGGCCCCAAGGTCAAGCTGGTCAGCGGGCACCGCCAGGGCACCGCCTGCCGTATAATTAGGAATCCTCGGCGCCAACGAGCAGACCAAGCACCACAAGGCGTGCTCGTCGCCCTGGCAGCTCTAGCTGTGCTCTAGCTGGCCAAGAAGGCCCTGCCCTCGGCGTCTAACGAAGCAGGTCATTTCGCGGGCGCCGCGCCGTGCTTCCAGTGCTGTGGCGGCCCGGACGGTTTCTTAGTGTAGTACCCTGTGGCCTTTGTGCATTACGCCCTGGCGCGCTGGAACTGCGGCGCCGTTAGCCCGGCACCGCCCCGCTGGAGGGCAGCCTGGAACAGACCGGAGTCCGACTGGAGTCTAGAGAGGGCCCGCGCTCACAATTTAGACTCAGTCAGCTCTGTTTTGAGGCAGTAGCGTCTGGTAGCGTCAGAGGCAGTCTTGAGTCAGCTCGGCTGGAGTCATCCTGGAAACATCCTGCCCGCAGGCAGTCCCAGTCGTCGCCGCGAACGAAAAGTGTCCCCGAGCGGGGCGGGGCGGGGTGGGGCGGCACGCCCCGCGGTTGGCGTGGCGTGGCGTAGTGCGAGTTTGTGGTCAGGGCGCGCCCTTGCCAGCCTTCGCCAGGCTTAACTGTTTCTAACTCTTTGCCTCCAGTTTAGAGCCTGAGCGCCGAGCGTGTCTAAGGGGCGCACGGCGGACGTTAATGGCGCGCGATGGCGCTCAAGATCGGCAATAAGTGCCTCTCCTCGTTACGCCAAGGTGCGCCAAGGTGCGCGAAGCGCACGGCGTCGTCATGGCGTCGTCGCGGGCCTGTGGCGCCTGCGGCCGCGGGGGCGTTGTCGCGGGCAGGCCCTTGCCCTCGGCGTCCAGCGTCCAGCCTGGCGCCCAGGAATGCAGGAACGTTTGGACTGGGAATCAGTTCAATTTGGCCAGCCAGCACTGCACTGCCGTGCGCTGCACTGCAGCTAGGCTCCACGGCTGGCCGCGGCGCGGGGCGGTGGCGGTGGCGGTCAGGAGCGCGGTGTTGCCGGACGCAGCGCCGCGGCGTTGCCGCGCCACCGCTTGTTGTTGCCGGAGCCGCGATGGCGAGCCGGCCAGGTGAGGTGCGGTGAGGTGAGGTGGGCGAGGAGGTGCACCAGCCAGCGACTCGGCGCTCGCCCGGTTTCTCCAGCGAACGGGTACTGGAGCGCTGGAGCGGGGCGGGGCGCGGGGCGGGGCGCGGGGCGGGGCACCGGCC